GCTTTTTGAAATGCTGCGCCTCTCAAGCGATTACCAGTTAGGCGATTTCAAAAGAGCTCATTAAAACATTCACAAAGCATTTTAAATCTTTGTCTACATCCGTGTTAACTCGCTGGTATTCGTCTCCTTTGTTGGCGCATTGCAGCATATCTTGGCGTGTTACCGCCACCTGTTGATCACCGTAACACTGCGACAGCGTTTGACTGTGTATTGCGTTGCTCTGCGTGCACATGTGCGTCCTCGTGTTTGCTCACAAGACAAACAAAACGGGGACCCAGTCGTAGAAACTCACACAGGGAACCTTTCACACACATGTGACAACACACACTGCCCTCATCTCCACTGGTAATGTGAGTTAAAGGTGCTGCCTGCCCTCCACCATCCTCGAACACACACTGCTCTCATCCCAGCAGAGCCAGACTGAGCATCACTACCCAACACAGCTGGAGGTCCCAGCATAGCCAGTCAGTCATGTGTTGATGCTGATTCAAGGGCCAATGAGAACGATGCTACTTTGTCTTTTCTCCCCAGAGCTAGAAACAATATTCAAGATATAAATAAGTGTTTCTATTAAGTTTGTATGTGGAAAAGTATAGCCCTGATCATTTAGGTCACAAGCATTGACTCCCATGATTCATAGTTATCGCAGTCATAAAACCTCAGAGACGCTCAGACCTGCTTTACACTGGTTTGTTTTACGGCTGCTGAATGATGTTTTCAACATGAAGTAATCTTTTTCTAAGTCGTAAAAATGATCGAGGTCATGTTGATATATTGTACGAAAAATCAATCAGGTGTAAATGATTACGGTCATGACTGCACAGTCTCTTAACTCTCTGACACCAGTTAAAGTATTTGTGCCGTGTTGGGGGGGACAATGATTGGCTCAACCAGTAAGTAAATATGAGGTCATACAATTGGACAGCAGGCCTCTTCTTTTGAACAATTAGATGGGCTGATAGGCCGGCAGAGTAAGAGCAAGCCGTGGCACCGCTCTGCCTGATGAGGTTACTCACCAGGACCCTCTCCTCTCTCATCGGACTAATTTGAAAATGCATCCTCGTCTAACCAACCTGGGCCTTCTTATCTGCTCCTCTGTGGCTGGACCTCTGGAAGGAGGGCACTGAGTGATAGATACAGAGAGACGCTGGAGGGAAGAGCACTTTTATGTACAAAAGACTCTCCTTGAAAGCCTGGAGGACAGGAAGTGGTTCTGTTTTTGTTTTATTTTGTTTTTTAACAGTCCAAGCTTGCTAATCACCCTCCTCCCCTCCTCCCCTCCTCCCCCAGTGATGGATTGCCATTCTTGGGTTTCATCCACGTCCCCCATACCTTCTGGTAGCTCTGCTCTTATTGCTTTGTCGCTGCATTTTCCTGAGGTCACTCTCTGTATTTAACTCGTTGGCTGTTTAAAACAGGGCAAATACTATAATGTGATAATTCATCTGCCTTTAATTAAGTTGTTTGGTGACAACATGATACATTTCAAACGATTGATTCTCAGCATTTTCTCTTGTTAAATGGTTGTTGATCTTAATTTACATGTGTGAAGAGTTTTGTTTGATGTGACAACATAACACTGGACCATTTATTGAATTCATCAATTAGAAATAAAGAGATCAATCTAAAGACAATTAACAATTGCACCAATTTTGAAAGGTGATTAACCTTTTCAAAAACAAATATTCATGCAACTTTTACATTGCAATGTTTGCAGACATTTTTGTCAGATATATATTTGGGTTTTTGGGACTATTAGTTGGACAAAGTAAGCAAGTTGACCGTGTCCTTTAGGAAATTCTACATTTCTCCACAATTTTTAAATCGGTAATCAATTAATATTACATGTATACGTAATAGTACATAATGGAAATAAACAGATGCAGCCCTGATATGAACATTACAACCCATCTCTACTGTCAACTTTTGCTTATGTTGCTGCTTCTGATGTGATGTCCCAGCATGCATCGGGCAAGAAGACATTGTGTGGACAGACACAAAGAATCGTTACTCTAGAATACGTCCTTCATATCTACAAAGGGAGCGGTACGTCACTGAGTCCACCATGTTGCACCGCCATGTTTCCACACAACGGACAAACCAAACACTGACTCTAGAGATAGACTTTCAAGTTTTAACGTTACCTGAAGGCCACCGTAGTTCTCTGCACGCTTGTGAAACTGCGGTAACGTGAGCTGCAGAGTGTACAACCGAGGCAACGCCGTTCACCTCGCTCAGTCTTGGAAAGAGAGGAGTGAGCGGAGGTTTATTGGTTGTAATCGGGGGGTCGATTCAGATGTTGTTTGTTGATCAGACGAGCACGGTTGAATACATGCATGCTGACACCATGACGATCTCAATCGCCTATGCATTCAACCATACTGCTTTACAGAAGGTGGCGGTAATGCATCAGATGATCACCTTTGAACTCAGATCCCCTTTTCCACAAATACAGACGATACACTTGTTTCCCGGTCTAGTGTGTCACGTTCTACGTCTCAGGGGCATCGGGTTAGTGAACAGTAAAACTGCTACCGCGGTTACTTTTTTATATATATGTTACTGATTCAGTCTCTCTTTCAAACTCTGAAACCAGAATTGTTGATTGCTGGAACAGTGGAAAGACTAACAGAGACGGCTTTGATGCATTTTATTTAGTTTCTGTCAAGAGATTGTGTTTTTTCACAATCAGCGAGTTAAAATGACTGTTTCTGTCAATGGAGTCCGGTGGCTTTGAGGAAAGCATATTAATTGTATGTTTTGGACGTTAAAAGATTTTAAAAAATTGTCAAACTCATTGTTGATTTAATTTTATTATATATTCACTGAAAAAAAAAGATTTTTAAAAATGAAAATTAGCGTCCTATGCTTCCATCACTGCTGGAGCCAATAAATATTCATCCTGGGAAAGAATGCCGATTGTAACATTTCCCACTAAAGACAAAAGCCAGATGTTAGTGGGTGTTAGTGGGGCTTAAAACAAAGAAGACATTAAAGTGCTGCTCAGACACATCAATCTGGACACAAAGTCTTCGATACATTAACAGTGTTTTATGAATGCATCTGTATTCACGTGGACGTGGCCTCAGACGGTTATTTGCTGCTGCTTCCTCTTGCTTCCCTCCTCCATCTAATCTCATGATCCGAGCTGCTTTTTAATGCATTTCCATTTGGCCTCATTACTCTCTGAGAGGACTGGCACCATGTGAGGAGCGAGCCAGCTATCTCTACCCCGCGGCCACATGGCAAGACTGCCGTTTCTTTGTGTATGTAAAAAGCTCAGCATGTATGTTCGAGTGTACAGTATTTGTGCATGCTGGTCGGATGGTTTTCCACTGTGTTTATCACACAAATACAAAGAAACACTCATTGTCCTTCCAAAGGGAGCAGCAGATATGAAGAGAGTTTATCTGATGTCTGAGCAGGAAATCAAATCAGTTGCACTTTCTCCTAGACCTTTTATTTAATCTACTTTTATGCTCATGCATTTACTGCACTCATAAGCAAATTTAGATTTAACTTTCAAGCATTTAGTGGCAGTCTTACCCGGCATTATAATGAGTACACAATGCACTACTATATTGTGTATTCCTCAACTTAGTACTTTCATATAGTCACGTATAGTTTGTTATTTAGCTTAGTTACACCATAGCTATACTTAGCCCAACCAAGAAGAGTTACATAATTAACAAATGTCTTTAATGTATTAGCTTTAGCTTTCTCAAAATCAATCTTTCCAGAAACAATGTCCCGGTTACTTCAGATAATCCACACACTTTTCAATGAAATAAAAATAAAAAAAGTTCACCAGGAAATAGTCCAGGGTTAGTTTTTCAACATTTATTGGTCGGCATTAAAGAAGCCACGTCCTAAGGCATCTCCGTACTGTCTTTAGCATTCAGCTGCAGCTTCTGCTTGGTTGAAACCACAAACCAAAACTCAGTGCACTTTATATTTAATCTCTGGTTTTCTAAAACCTTTTCAATGAGGTTCTGCTGAATGGGGGCCAATCCATATACTTGTAAAGCTTGTAAACCCTTCAACAGGAAACGTGTCTGTTGATCTACAAACATTTATTTCAGAATGAAACCTGCGACTTTACAGTTCCTTCATGGCCTCTCTAACTGCTTGGCATGGCGATGCTGCCAGGCTCTGCAGGTGGGTTTTCCTCCGTGGCAGCAGCAGCTGTGTTCAACAGATGCTAAATTACAGTGTGGACCTGATGGTCGTATCTCTCTGGCTCTGGCAGGCTAATAATAGTGTTGGCCTGAGCAGTGGAGAACCTCAAGCGGTCATGATGACATGGCTGATGGTTGTGTTGAGGCTTTGCTATTTGGAGAGTAATAGGCTACCTTTTTGCTGTATGTAATGTGGTGTCCCCTCTTAAATTTCACTTCACATTAGGCGTTTTCGGACCAAACAGTTCTTGGGACTCCCTGAGAGGAAATGTCCATTGGGGAGCCTTCAAGGGCTTTTTCGTTTGCTTTGTTCGCTACTTTCGTTATGTTCGATACGACCGTTATGTTCGCTACATCTGTTATGTTCGCTACGTTCGCTACATCTGTTA